GAGCCCGATGTGGGACTCGATCCCAGGACCCTGGGATCATGACCTGAGCCGAAGGCAGACGCTTAACGACTGAGCCACCCAGGCGCCCCTCAAATCAAGTTTTAAGCATTGTTCTCCGACTTGGTAAGCTCTTCCTTCTGGTTGGCTTTCATTTCCATTTTTTTAAGCCATTTTGTACATCTCTGCATTCTCCAGGGTTAGAAGAAACTCAAGCATTCATCTAGCACCTTTCATAGTTCCCATATTCTCCACTCTCCTCCTCCCCAGCCTTACGCTCCCTGTCACTGCCCAGGCTGGGTAGAACTCTTTAATTTCAGGACATGCTAGCTCTGGCAGAGCCCAAGCCACATCTTAGGTTGAACTGAAATGCAGGACCTTCTAGACTCCGTCCTGTGGGCTTGGTTCGACTCCACTGCTGTGTAGAACAAGAGTACCCTCTCCCCTTTCAGACAGTCCTTCTAGTTTGGAAAGCAGGCTTTTCCCTGAGCCCAACATCTCTAGCTCTCTCTTCACTCCCCTAGCAAGTGGCTTAGAACCCCACCCCCAGTGCTGATAGTTTTTCTGTAAACATGTTCCAGTTTTCAAGTGTCTCACTTAAAATCTGCTTCTCAAAATGCAGTTAATTCCAGCTGGTTCAGGGTGGAGGGGATCACCACTGTCGAAAAGCCTCAGCCACAGGAGGACTCTTGATCAACTGAATTTAGAGTTAACTACACCTTTGCTACTCCTACAGCTGCTTAGCTGCTGGGTTGAGTTTTGAAACTCATGAGTCATAATGGAGTTTATCAAGTTGGCAATGAGTCTTACGTGGCTCAAAGAAAGAATCCCACCCATGCCCCCCAGCTCTTTTTGGAGTCAGAAGCTTGAGCCATGCTTCTTTAGGTCTTTCCAAGATGGCTGCTGTGGGGGAAGGGGTTAAGGATAATGATTCAGGTGTTCAGGTTTTTTTTCCATTATGGAAAAATTTTTTTTCTTTTTTAATCCTTTAAATTAACTAGTTTCTAGCTTCACATGGTTTCAAACTTAAAGTATCAAGGGTATGAAATCTCCAATTTCTCTCTGCCAGCCACCTTCAAGTAGGATACTATTATCCCACAGTGAGTCTAGATTCTAATCTCAAATTTGCATTTTTGTGTTGTGGGTTATAATTTTTTAAATGTTTAAAAGTAGTCCTTTTGTGTAATTCTCATGATTGGTCTGCTAGTTATGCTCTGGTCCTCTTCTGCTATACAAGTGTTTCAGCCATCCTTTTCAGCTGCTGCTTGGTCTGCCTTTTAATTTCTCACTTTTAAAATTATTTGGCCCACGATAATTTCACATTTTACTTTGTCAAGTGCTAAAAACACCTCACATCTCCGAATCCTGGTTTAGAAAGTCGTCATCTGTCCTGTTCCTCATCCAGACATGGTTGTGAGTGAGCCTGTAATCTAGGAGGAGTCCAGCAGCCTGTGGGCTCTGAATTGCTATTTGTGAGGGAGAGACTGACACATCCATCCAGCCCAGTGTGCTCATTTTACACGTAGAGAGGCAGGTGCTCACAGAGGTGGTTGGGCTGGTGCCAAATGACACAGCCAGTTAGAAGCAGATCTGGCCCCAGAACCTGGGCTGTAGTCCTTGTCGCACATGTTACCCCTTGTACAAGGGGTCTCCTCAAGGTGGGAAGGGAAGGTATGACATGCCACCCTGCTAGAAACGTATGCGTTTCAGAAGATGTACGTGCAGGACCCTTATGATTCTGGATGCTTCCTGCCCTGGTGGCCTGCATCTCGCCAGTCTCCTTTGAGGGTTGCCAGGTGAAAGGAGTTGGGCAGTTTCTCTTTGAGCTTAATGGGTAGAACTGCAGTGGGATAGCCACAGAAGTGGAAAGGTAGTAACAGCAAATATATCCTTAGTGCTTGTTTAAGCCTGGACGTTGTTCATTATCTCACGTGTGAGGCACACATGACCTGTGATGCAGGACTACTAACCCGGTTAGTTATTTTTGCAGTTTCAACTGCAAAATCAGTTTGCAGTTGAAACTGAGCACGAGGTTTGAAGCCATACTTGTGTGTGATCTGTCATGGAGCGCATCATAGAAGGATTGGGTTTAGATATGCTTTTGCCACTTGTGGGTGTACAGAAGTTTGGGTGAACGGAATTGTCCTCCTTTGAGGAGAATTGGCGAAATGAAAGATGTCTTTAATATGTTGTTTACTAAGTTATTTGAAAGTCTGAGGTTAGTATAAATGTAATAGCATTAAATGTATCTACTCATTGCAGATGCCAGAAAAGTACAGGATATGCAAATATCTCAAACGGCTATAGCATATATATCATGAAAATGGGTTTATTTATTGTAAATAGATTTGTATATACATTTTTCTTAGTGTAGGTAACTTTTTCCCATTTGGCTGAAGAGCTACATGGGTGTAGCTTCCTGGGGTTATTACAGGTGGTATGGATTTGCTGTGACAATTAGTGCAGCTATTAACCGTTGTCACAGGGTCTTAGCAGTATGAAGGTAGGGGGCGGGGGTAAAGAATAAGGAAGGTGTGGTCAAAGAGGGAGCAAAGAGCATTGAGTTGAGAGGTGGGCAAAGGCCCGATTTTACTGGGTCCTAAATTCATGGTGAGGTATTGAAAAATCATTCTGAATATCATGGAAGCCGTTGGAGTGGTGTGATGGGATTTATGCTTCATGTTCCCTAAGGATCCTGTACTTACCATGTGGACACGGGAAGTGTGATTCGCCTCTTCCTTAGGGTGAATATATAGTCAACACAGGTATCATTGTAATCAGTTCTTTTCCTGACTGTTCAGTTATTTTTTTTCTGTTCCAGAATATGGTTGAGCCCCTTATACCCACGAATTATCCATGGAACCCACACATCAGGAGAATCAACAACACATTTTAAAGCTGATCTCATCAGCTACTTGATGGCTTATAATGCTCCTTCACTCAAGGAGTGGATAGATATCATCCACAAGCATGATCTCTCTGAAACCAAGTATGTGGTGTTTAGCAATTCGGGATTTTTAAAGTGGGTGAATACCTTGAGAGCCACACAGTATCTGCAGTGGAAAGAGGTAGAATACTTGGCTGTCCTTCATTACATGAGAGCAGATTCTCTCACTCTCTGCATCTCCTAGGTCTGAGGTGCTAAAGCGGAGGCCAGTAATTGTCTTGCTCACCATAAGCCTCCCTCTGGAGTACTCCTAAAGTGACTGATTTCATTGCCGGCACCTTATACCTTGTGAATGTTCCACCATGAGTTGATGTGCTTGAAAATTAGTTTGAGTAACGATTACTGTTCTGAGGAGTCACCTCAAAAAATAGGTGGTCTCTTAGAACATCTCATGATAACATTAGTTTTTGTGTGTATTTTGTGATTTGGGGGTCCACAAATTACATCACTCTGTTCTATAACTTGTATTTTATATCCTTTTAGTGTTTATCTTCTTGGATCAACCCCAGGGCGCTTTCAAGGAAGTCAGAAAGATAATTGGGGACATTTTAGGCTTAGAAAGGTAACAATTTTTACTATTTTTTAAATTAATATATATTCATTTATAATTGTATATTTTGATGGCAGCTTCATTATAACTAGCACAATTCTGGGTGAACAGGCTCTTGATAAATTGTCTGGTTATAGTTTTCAGTAATTACTTTTTAATGTTTTGTCTTTTAGAGGTGTAGACTGCTCTAAATGGCAAAAGTATAAGGACTTTTTTAGTTATTATAGATTTCTCATTCATGCAGCTCTTGTAGCTTTTGATCTCAGGATCTGAAGGGTTTTTAACATACAAATTCAACAAAGAACAGAAAAGTACAATTGAGTAAATAGTACTATAATGTATTTTGTTTACTAAACCAGGGCCTTTAAGAGTTACTACAGAAGAGGCCTTTGCTGGTGGTATGAAAATGATGAAGAAAAGTCTCTAACAAATTAAAACAGCAAACAAGTTAAAGATGACGATTTTCTTCATCTGTTTAGGAGACACATTAATGACACTAATAAATTCCCTATGTGGCTCTCGTAAAAGCTTTACCTTTTTCTGTGAAGTATTTGTCATGTAAGAATTAACCTTTGGTTAATGAAACTTTATCTTAATTTGCTTTTTTGAAATGAGACCACAGCTGAAAACATAAGATCTGGAAGCCAACATCCTCATTTCTTGGCCTAGAGAAGGCATTAGAGCACCCTGGCTGAGTGGATAGCTTGGAGGTAGATTCCCAGACCTGGGTTCAAATCCTCACCTGTTAACAAGTCATATGACCTGCGTCTCCTCTCTAAAATGGCATAACAACAGTACTTAGAAAATTGCCTAAGGATTAGACGAACTTAGAGAAGGCAAGGCACATGTTGAGCCTTCAGTGTGCTGGTTGGTGGCTCTCAGTTTGTGACGGGATGGTTGAGACAGGCTAGATGCTAGCACATGGTGTGTAGAATCAGTCTTCCTGGAGGATAAAGAGCATCTTGGTTTCCAGACCACCTCTCACAAGCTCCTGTTGCAGCACAGCTGCCTTCCAGGGAAGACGCGAGTGGTCAGACTTGTGTTTCACTGACCCATAAATGGAAGCCCAGGGACATGTCCAGGGCCAGGTAGCCGATCAGGGGCTGAGCACCAGAACAGAAACTGGGTCTTGTAGCTGTCAGTTCGGTCCTATTTCTTACACCATGCTGCAGGAGGGCAGAAACTGAGAACTAGGCTTTTATAATACTAAAGCTGTGTTAAGGAAAATAATACATATGAAATTAAACAATGCGCTCCATTGGGACAGGAACTGTGGCTTATTTTTCTTCAGCCTCTTGGTAGTAAACACACAGTACATGTTTAAGTAGATAAAATTTCCAAATATTTTTGAGTTGTTTCTGCAGCTTTGTGTTAAGTATCAAAGCGGGAAATGCAGATCAGGCTCCCTGTAGTGCTTAGGGTGCTCTGTATATATACATAAATACACTGTTTTATTTATTTATTTATTTTTTAGAGCATCAGTATGTGGAGCCCAAGTGTTAAATCTCTTTCAAATGATGGAAGTCAAAATATACAGTAGTTTGTATTTTCTTAGGTATTATTTCAAGGCAAAAATCTCATTTCATATGGCAGGTCAGTGGTTTATCTGACATTCCTACTAAAAGGGATCTTTTAAGAAAATTGGTTTTGCTTTAATACAAATCAAAGAATTTTAGAAGAATACTTCTGTCCACCTACTCCATTAAAATATTTTTAGTATTTAAAGAATATTTTCCAAAGAAAAAAGTATGAAATTGATATGTAATATTTTCAGCATTTTTCTGTTGATTAGGGGTTCCAAGGACAGAAAATCATATTCTGAATTGTTAAAAATTTTTCTGTTCACAGCTTCTGAAAGAGCATGCCTGTCCTAAAGGAGAGTCTTGGCCAATAGTAGGTCAGTTTTCAAGCATTGGGTCTATGGGAGCTGATGACTCGAAATGGTTGTGTTCTGAGTTTAAAGAAAGCTTGGTGACGCTGGGGAAGGAAAGCCGGACCCCAGGGAGAAGTTCCGTTCCTCTTCATCTGGTGAGTGCCTGTCCTACCTCACTTGATCGTGTTTATTCTCTAGTCCCAGAGAAGCATGAGAATCCATCCTCCCCCCATAGAGGTTTTAATCAGTGATTCTTGCATGGAAACAACAGTACATTAGCACCATCGTGTGTGATCAAGTGGCCCTTAAATCCTCTGGTGCTGGGAAGGTGCTGCTCTCTGCAGAGCTCCATTTCAGCTACATACTAGCCTGTGATTTTTCCATTCCTTCCTTCAGGTTCTCAAGCCAAAGAAAAAAATATTTGATAAGCCTTGCCAGCAGAATTATGAGCATTATTAATTAGAGACTTTTGAATTAATAATTAATTTTGCATTGAACTCAGTGTTAATTTGGCATTTTTAAGAGAAAAACTGAAATAGAAGTTTTTTCATTGAATATATATGCTTCCTGTAGTTGCTAGAAGTTACATTTTTTCATAAGATGCAAATTCTTTAAAGTGCATTTTCTAAGTTTTTAAATGAAATTTTTTTTTAAGATTTTATTAATTGTCAGAGCATGAGCTGGGGGGTAGCGGCAGAGGGTGAGGGAGAAGCAGGCTCCCTGCTGAGCAAGGAGCCTGATGTGGGACTCGATCCCAGGACTCTGGGATCATGACCTGAGCTGAAAGCAGACGCTTAACCAACTGAGCCACCCAGGCGTCCCTAAATGAAATCTTTCTAATTGAGATTTTCATCTTAAAAACATTCTTTTTAAGAAAGTTTCTTTAACATGGTACATTTTGAGTGTTATTTTGTATTTTTCCTTTTTTTAAAAATTTTTTTTCCTTTATTTTTAGATCTATCCTTCTGTGGAAAATGTGCGAACCAGCTTAGAAGGATATCCAGGTAATTGTTGGAGACTGTCTCAGTTGCATTTTTTTGGTGTATCTTTCATAAATGCCCTGGTAAACTTTTTAAAACAAGTAATAAAAATGCCATTCTCCTTGAGAAAAGAACTGGTTAGAAATTTGGAGAATATTTTCCCTTAATTGGCTAAGAATCATGGAAATAGGTAATATCGAGTAGTACTATGTCCCAAAGATGGTTCCATGCTTTTGGGCAATTTTAGTGTGTTACTGAATCCTCACAGTAACACTGTGAGGACTTGTTCTCATTTCCACAAGTAAGGTGGTCCCTTCTGCCAACAACAGGTTGGTTGTCCAACAGGTTGGTTGGCTGTCCGAATAAAACCACCTTTCCCTGCTGTGTCCTGCCTTTCCAGAGAAATTCTGACATGCCTTTCTCTGATCTCTCTCTCTCCATATTCTCCCTGCTTGTGTCTGTGGCTCTGTGTGGTTCTTCCAATTTTGAATCACAGGTATATTTAAGGTACAGAACTTCTGCTTAGTTTTGGGATGAACCTTTGGTGTTACCTAGTTGATACTTGTCCTTTCTAAAGCACTTCATCTGTAAATGCCTAGGATGATTTTGTAGGCGACTTTCAACTTTGCTATTTTCCTTATACAGTGCTAGACACTGAACTTTTATTTGGAATCCAGCAGCCCTCCAGATAACACATTCAGGAGGCAATAACCAAAAACCCAAGTAGGGTTTGTCTCTGGAAAAAAGAAATCTGATTGGCATTTGCTTGTGGCTGGAAGCAGAATGCTCTGAATTAGACTAATTTAGTCCATTTATTGCTTGTCAAACTAGATGTGACCCTGCCAGAAAAATCTTAGTAAGGTTTGGAGTGTAGTGTATCAGCCCATTTGCTGCTACCTAATGGCAAAGCCAAAATCATTTCACTGAGACTCAGACATGGTGAGGTTTTGGTTGGTTTTTGTCTTCTCCTTTCTCCACTTCTGATACACTAGATTCATTCAAAATGTGCTTTTTAATGGGGAAGAACACGGTGTTTTCCATAAAACTATTTTGTAACTGGCCCTAAATACGTTTTTTAGTTATTTGTAGTAGAGGATACGACATGCCTTGTGATGACTCAGAAATTTAAAGCCCTTTTTGGGATATAGATTATTTATGGAGAAGTTCCAACATGTGTTTGGAAAGTCAGTGGTGAATCTACAATAGAACTTTCCTCCTTTCTAAGATGAACAAAAACTGGTTACTAATTGTGTTTCCACTTGGAACTGTATCTCTACTTTTGATGCAGGAATATGGATTTTAGCATTGCTTTTTAAAAGCAACTGTTTACTGAACTTTTTTTTTTTTTTTAAGATTTATATGTTTGAGAGAGACAACATGAGCGGGGCGGGAAGAGAGAGAGAGATCTCAAGCACACTCCCCATTGAGCAGGAAGCCCAATGCAGGCCCCGATCTCATGACCCTGAGATCGTGACTGGAGCCGAAACCGAGTTAGACACTTAACCAACTGTACTACCCAGGTGCCCCTGAATATTTTAATTTTAGTGATGACTCTATTCCATTTGTAAGAATGTTTAGCTAATGCAAACTCTGCTTGGAAATAGCAGAATGTAAAGGGTAAAGGAAGCAGGAACTGAGTTTTCATCTAAGTCTACCTTCCCAAGTGTCCAGCTCTTGGGCAGAAATGGAGATGCTCCAGACCAAAATGGGGTAAGGCTTTCTCGCCTGCATGAGGACTGCAGGATAGGCCAGAGTTCTTCAGGTAGTTTTTCAGATACTTCGAATCTGTGCTGTTATTAATGTTTAAATTACCACCCCCAAGTGATTAATACCTCTTTCTTTTCAGATTGTAAACATTTACCATTTAACATGTATCCCTCAGAAAGGAAACCCCACTGAGGGAACATACCTAATACAAGTGTAGACCTTTTCTTTCTTTCCATAAGATGAAATAGGAAGTGGTTTTGTTTTTTCAGTGTTTACTGTAGATTCTTAATGAAGGATCCTAAAATTATTTTCTGTAATACTTGTTTTCTTCTTTTAAAAGCTGGGGGTTCTCTTCCCTATAGCATCCAGACAGCTGAAAAACAGAACTGGCTCCATTCCTATTTTCAGTAAGTAATTGGTTTAGAATGCTGCTATTGCTTCTTCAGAAATATGAATGTTATTTATGTCAGTGTGTTCTTTTAAAAAAGAACCTTACATAATACAGCTGTATTTTTTCATCTGCATATGTTAGTGATAGAAATAACTTAAAACAAGGTTTTGAACATTATTTGAAATAGGTTTTTAATACCAAAGGATAAAACTGATCTGTGAGGTTTGTATTAAATATTGGCCCTCAAAGAAAAAAAATGAAGATGATGATGGGTAATTTAGAATTTATGTAAGGAGCATTTTTAAAAAATGTTACTTGAGTATAATTGACACACCGTCTTACATTAGTTTCAGGTGTACGACATAGTGATTCAGCAACATTTTAGCTTATATTTCCAGATTATAATTCTTCTGTCTGCACATGTACATGCACGTACTGTATGACTGCAAGCTTGCCGTGGGTGGAGTCCACACCACTCTTTGTCCAGGACATGGGATCGTATTTGGTTTGTTTTAAGGGCTCAGTAAATGGTTGAATGGGCAGGTGAAGGGATTGTCTTTCATCCTCCTCTTGTTCCAGTGGGCACACTCTGACTGTTCTAGGCCAGTGCAGTTTCCTGCTTGCTTCAGGCATGTGTTACACTTGGCGGCTGGAAACAAAGGCAGATTGCATCTCAGTAGCTTGCAGGCTAATTCACTGTGTCCTTGTGGGCCCGTCCGTGTGTCCCTGTGGGCCCCCGTTGGGAGGTTATTCCTTACAGAGAACATTTCTTTATATTGATGAGCTCCTTTCACGAGTCATTCAAGTGAATTTAATGATTGAAGGAACAATCTACATAATCCTAATTCTGGTCTCAGCCTTTTTGCAAGAAAGGATTGTTGCCTCATGATGGTAGGCCCTCTCTTCCTACAGAACCTCAGTCCTGCAATACTGACAGGTAAATGTTAGCCTTGGACTGAAGTGTTTCCAAATTATCCTCTTTTTTTTTTTTTTAAGATTTTATTTGACACAGAGAACACAAAAGCAGGGGGAGCAGCAGAGGGAGAGGGAGAAGCACGCTCCCTGCTGAGCAGGGATCCCAATGCAGGACTCGATCCCAGGACCCTGAGATCATGACTTGAGCTGAAGGCAGACACTTAACCCACTGAGCCACCCAGGTGCCCCATCCTCCTGCTTTTTAACATTGTTTTAATATTCATCCTGTTGGCATTTTTCCCCATTTTGTACTTTTTTTCAACAAACTTCCTGAGCCCGTACTTGGTAATGCACTGTGGGAGCATGATTCCTCCTTTTAAGGAGCTCATAGTCCACGTAGGAGACAAGACATGCACATATGCAGTTGAAAACACAACAGAAGTAATAGACATGAATATATACATGTCTTACTGGCAAAAAAAAAAAAAACAAAAAACGGTAAGGCTAGATACCAAAGGGTTAGTGTTTTATTATACTGCTCTCAAACAGAGTTTAATAAAATATTAGAGGTCCCATCAGAGAACTGTGTACCCACTGTTTAGATTATAGGATTTTGCTTTTCATGAAGTTTCCTAATACTAGGATTATGACAGGTTTATATTTTCTTACTGGTAATGGGTCTTTCCTGTCACTAGCAAATGGTCGGCTGACACATCTGGCCGCAGCAATGCTATGCCACATATTAAAACATATATGAGACCCTCTCCAGACTTCAGTCAGATTGCTTGGTTCCTTGTCACAAGGTAAGTAGTCCTTATAGTCTTGGTTTGTAACTCCTGCTCTGAATACCGAATGGGTTTCCAAAAAATGGTTTTGTAAATTGTCATTTAGTTTTCAGAGTGTGTATGTCTTCTGATCCTTATTTAAGAGGCTTATTACTTACCCCTTTCTAGTGCCTGTTATCATTGCCTGATTTTATGAGTCTTGATATTTATGAGGTCTTCATAAAGTCTGCATTTACTCTTGTTAAACTTAATACTTCAATAGTAGGAATTAGGCAAGTTAACATTTGGGGTAAATACAGAACAAAAATGATATGGTAAAATTAGTATTCCTTAATTACTTTCTCTTAGGTAATTAACATTTGACTGATCAAGTCTCTTAAGTGTTTTTTTTAACATCTTTATTAAATAATTAACACTTTAAGATTCACCTATTTAGTCTGCAATTCAATGATTTAGTATACTCACAGAATTGTGCAACAATCACTATAATTTCAGAATTTTCATTACCCCTTAAAGGAAATGCCTTACCTACTAAGCATCCTTGTGTCTGTTTTTATATCAAGATAGATTGCTGTGCTCTTGGAAAAAGAGAACTGGACTAGAACTTTAGTTCTAACTCCTAGTCTGCCCAAAGGCCATTAGGCATCTCTTAATGATTTAATAAGACAATTAATGTCATTAATAATTAAGGTATGACAGAGTAATGAAAAAACTTTGAAACAAAAATTTAAACTCATGAAGCAACTCTTAAAAAAGCCAATTAGAAAGCAAAACCAAGTCCCTTCCCTAGCTTATGGAAATTAGTGGTAACACTTTTTACCTGGCTCAGGGTAAGGAACTGTGAGCTGAATAGTGTTAGTGGTATACATCAGATGCAACAGTGGGCTTCTGCAAAGTTTTTGAGGCACCATAGTATAATGGAAAAATATACATTTGAGTACTGAAGATTTAAGATGCTCTTCTGTCATTTATTAGCTCTGTGAACTTGCGAAATGTATTTAATCTGAGTCTGTTTCCTATTCTTTAAAATGGGAAAAGCAGTGGCTGCCTTTTGGGGTTGTTGTGAGAGTTAAATGAGCTGCTCGAGGCTCCGTGCATCTGACATACAGACCGCAGGACACGACAGCTGTGATTATGCTAGTTCAGGCTTCACTGTCAAGACTGAAGGATGGCCAGGGGAATTGGAACACATTTCTTTGCTGTGTGTCTTTAAAGAAGAGAAACTTTGGCTTCTGAAGTAGGTTTCCTGGGTGTGAAGACCTGAATTAGAGATTGCCTGGGTAGAGAAGTCATTGCCTGAGACAGGTAGTGCCAGGGAGAAGAGAAACCTCTAAAATGTATGTGGCCTCGTCCTCGGGCAAGTTCAATCCCTAGTTGCCTTGGTAAGTGTGGGATTGTTGTTAATCCCTCTCCCAGTTTTCACACTTTAAGCTAAATTTTTTTTTTTTTCCAGATTTTATTTATTTGTCAGAGAGAGAGCACAAGCAGGGGGAGCAGCAGGCAGAGGGAGAAGCAGGCTCCCAGCCGAGCAGGGAACCCAATGCAGGGCTCGATCCCAGGACCCTGGGATCATGACCTGACCCGAAGGCAGACGCTTAACCAACTGAGCCACCCACGTTCCCTAAGCTAAATTATTTAAATATTCCTGACTTAGTGATGAGAAATCAAAGCTAACCAACAAGAACATAAATTTGGATATATTACGGACCCTTGAACATAATCCAAAGGAATTGGATTTTCAGAGACTACATTTCAGCGTCAGCTCATCTGTTCAATAATTGTCTGTTAAGCCACATTATTAAGTTGCAAGTAGTAAAAAAGGAAACCATGTTACTAAGTTGCAGTATTAAAAGCCTGGCTTTTTATATTGCTTCTGCCCCATCGTGATGCTGTGTGACAGTCACTTCCTGCATACCCTGATGATGAGTCCGTAAGACTAGGTGAATTACCTACCTGCTTGCAATTCTAAAATGCTACTTTTGGATATATATACTTGAGTAGTGGGCCATCATTCGTCCCAAGGGCTGAATGTTTTGTGTTTATTTACATGAATGTTATTTTGTTTTGTGTCGAATACCTTAAATTAGACATTTTTCTCAATCTGGTGTGACAGAATTCTCTAACAGTATGGGTCATGTTCTAGGGCTCTACCCAGTATATATTCATTTTTTTTTTTTTGGAGTAGTCGAGGTTCTTCCTGCAATCATGCCACTTTGCATGAAGGTTGAATTGAACTTGAAGGCTATCCTTCCAACTTCGAGAAAAATCAGATAGGATTTTAACCAATGTAGGAAAAGCCATATAGAGAAATATGTCAGTTATTTGGTAAAAGTGGTCTTGTCTAGCATTATGTTATCCTGCTGGGAAAACTGTTGCCTAGAGAAATGTAGCCTTGAGTCTCTTTCTACATCATTGGACAAGTTGAATTTACTGTTTATTTGGGAATTGTTTTCCTCAGAGTAGAGTGAAAAGATGGATGTACTTCACTCAAGTTGGGTATTTACTGATCCTGTTTTAGGGGTATGAAGGGAGGTTGAGATTAACAATAATCCTTGTCTAAAGGCAAAGTTTTTGTAGTCGAGTATAATGATGGCATTCGTTGAGCTCTGGGAATACAAAGCAAGACGTGACCCATGCCACGCAGAGGCTGCAAGAAGAAATGGGACACTGTATACTAGTTGTTTACCTGTGTAAGGATCTGGTGAATGCACCTTTACAAATGTATTATCTGGTTGGGGTGGGGTCAGGGTGGGTCAGAGATGCACTAAAGCTAGGGCAATGGTATCTCAGGTAGGCCCGGAAGCATGCCTAAGAGTAAATAAACCAGATGACTGGAAGGTGGCTCTAAGCAGAGGAAGGGGACGCAGAGGCCGCAGAGCTGGAAAAGTACATGGGGTTTTCAGGGAACATCTGAGTGAATCTGCAGTTAGATGAAAGAAAAGAGATTCCTACACCTTCAGAATGGATTTTCTTAAGCTAGGGCACCATTATGTTAAGTGCAGAAAGCATTCACTGTCTATTTATTCATTTAATATTTGTTGGTTTTGTGTTATGTGAATGACTGCTTTCATATTGACTGGCTATTACTAAATTCTGACTTGGAAGTTAATTTGTTAAGAATTTGAAACTTGTCATGGATTTGTGGCTTCTAATTTTATTCTGAAATACCTAGGCTAAAAACTATCAACTTATCAGGTATATAAAAAGGTACAACAATTACTCGGTGATTTCAACGTAACAGACACTGTTCTAAGCACTTTTTGTTCATTTAATTTTCACAACTGCCCCACAGGGACTCGGAGAATGGTTAAGTAGGCTGCCCACAGTGACACAGTAGTGAGTTGTGGAAGCAGGATTTGAACCCACGGAATTTGGCTCCACAGCTGGCACTCTTCACCTCAACTTTCTGATGCCACTCTTAACAGCCGATAGTGTACCTATTTTCTGTGAAGACGGGTCAAAAGAAACTGCATCACTTTACTTTGATTGTGGTATGGAAAAAAAAAAACATAGCATCCCAGTATTAAAGAATATCTGACATAACTGAAGTAGTAATTTAGGAAATACTTAGAGCCCACTCTCAGCCCTTCTACAATAAGGAAAAATGTAGATCTGAAATATAAGTGACATCTACCAGGAACTCCCTTTTTTTTTTTTCTTTTTTTTTTGTGTCTTGGTTTGCCACCTTCTCTCAAAGTTAGAACATCCCAAACTGAGCTCTTACCTAGAAGGATATTTCCTTCCCAACATCCATTTTGGCCCTGGTGGCACCTGCCCACTCTTCTATCCTCAGGCTTACAGCCCAGCTGTCCTCTTGCTATTCCTTCCTTTGAGCATTCTGCAGCATTTACTGAGGTCCTTCCTCTTGTGAATGCAGGGCACTTGGGATAAAAAACATAAACATCAGGACGCCTGGGTGGCTCAGCCGGTTAAGCATCAGCCTTCGGCTCAGGTCATAATCCCAGGGTCCTGGGATAGAGCCCCGCATCGGGCTCCTTGCTCAACAGGGAGCCTCCTTCTCCCTCTGCCTGCCACTTTTCCCTGCTTGTGCGTGGGCGCTTGCCCATGTTATCTCTGTCTCTGACAAATAAAATCTGAAAAAACAAAACATAAGAATCTTAAAGGCACTACCTAAATCTTATCTCTGATGTCAGAAGCCAGATATAGAAGTAATTAAAATAAGAAGAGATCGATTCTGTGCTTGACGTGGGCATGTGGATGCTTTGGATAGGATAATCAAAGTTGTTCATTCTTTTTTTTTTTTTTTTT